TATACTTTATCACGTGTAAATATAAAGTACATAAGTTTGGAATAATTTAACGTATATCCAAAAATTACCTAATAGATTTATTATAACCCTATTCGATTGTAGTTAAATCATTTATCTATTTCAACACATTTAAAATTCAAACGTACTTAAAAAAATAATCCAAATTATACACTACTATTCTACACCATAAAGCAACTAAACACATTTCAAAGCAAGAAACTTAGTTTTAAATCATCCAAAATAAATCAAATTTAAAGAAATCATCCATTCTTAATTTGGAATATCGAATAATCCTACCACAATTATGTTCTTATGTAAAAAAAAAAAAAAACAAACCGTAACTCACAAAATAGTATTGGTAAATGAAAGAAAAATTTAATTATATAATTTATTTATGATTATTTCCTACTGCAATGTATTCAACTTCATTTTTAGATTTAAGATAACAACGATCAATAAGTAGGTTTTCAATTTTTAAATATTGTTCATCTTACACATAAATTTTTTTTTTTTAATTTTTCCACAATTTTACCCACATCTTCAATATCTATCTACTTAAGTTTGATAGCTAAAAAATATATATTTAAAATATTTAGTCGGATTTAGAATTTAAAACATGAAGATATTTCATAAGATAATTCTTGTGAAGAAAAAAGAATAATATTATTAATCTTATTAGCATATATTGATAAATTTAATAATAACGAAAGAAATAATAAAAAGTTTATTATTATCATAATAGAATTCTGATGAAGGATTGAAAATTACATGAAAAAAATCGGGACCAATAGAAAAATTGTATAAAATAATGACAATAAACTAAAAGTAAAACTAGATCTACATGAAAACAAATTGGGGACAAGAAAAACCGATAGAAAGTTCATACATTTTCTTCAAAGCCGGTGGTTTCTGAATGAACTTGAACTGACCAACTCTATCAGGGTTGAACATGATAAAGTCATCGCCTAATGATCCTCGAATTAATAAATCTCCATCAGCAGTTGATTTCAAACATAAGGAAGTTGATGCACCCCAGATATGAAAAAATGAAAAAGGCAAATGTCCGACAGATATACGTCCTTGAAAGGTAATTCTATATTATACTCCGGCTTCCAAATCCACTTATCATCGACACAACTAAATGACCAAATTTCAAACACTCCCTTAATCAAAATTGTATGTAAGCTTCCAACACACAGTTTTTCCTTGATATCAATAAGCACAGAATGTTTCTCATTAGTAAATAAAGTGTTAAATCATTTCCTGTCTGGAAAGCTTATAACATCAAAACTTGATTTCAAAACACTAAAAACCACCAACATTCTATCAACATAATCTTCACCGGACTTGAAGATAAAATGTTTCTCAATATTCCAAAAAACATAATTGCTCACAACAATACCCAAACCGGCAACAATGCAAGGACATCTAGAATCAATGTGAATCCACTTCGAATGCATATCAACCATTTCCTCATTAGCTCTCCATCTGACTAATACAGCATACATGTTACTAGGCATACATGGTCGGAGACATACAACAACATACTCTTCCGCGTTAGACATGAAACCAAACGACGCAACCCAATCAGGAAATTTTATATCCTCGCCAAGTTGATTCGGAAGAGTGAGACTCTTAAACTGACACCATAACTGAGCTTGAAGCAAATGAGGTCAGAAGTGATAGGAAGAACACCGTTAATACTTTGGCGACACACATACCTTGGAGTATTTGATTTACACAAAAATTTTGTATGCTCACTCTTTGTGCTTTTCTTCAAAATCTCAGTTCTATTGAGCACAAAATCAATAACCGGTGACACGCAAATAAATAAAATATTTTCACCGCAAAAGTTACAATGATATCTTCTCAAAATTTCAAGGGTTTTTTTGATTTTCAAGGATATTTTCCATGACTTCTTGACAATCAAACAATTCGACATACTCTTACAATCAATCCTGGTTAGTATCTCTTGAAGTATTTCATTTGGCAAATGCTCAAAAAATGTCTCATTGAAAGACATTTTGGATTTATTTTTTTCATGATAAATTTAGGATTTTTTTTATGGAAGAAGATTATAAGAAGCCGAATGGTATTCTATTTATTTTATTAAAAATATAAAAAAAAAAATTTCTTAAATAAATCATAATTATTGAGTCAATTAGATTGGATAATGGACTAATAATAAAATATTCAATCTGAATTTTCTAAAAATAGATAAAAAAATTGATTGGTTTTAAGTTCTTTTAAGTTGCTTTATAGAAACATAGAGATAATCATGACTATATTGAATATTTATCATAATAACTAAATGGACAATAACTGAAACTCTAAATGATAAAATTTATGTCAAAATCAATAAAAAAATAAGAGCAATATTTGAATTTTAATAAAAGTTAATATTATTTCGATAAGTATATATGTCCGAAAATAAATTCAAATAATTTATTAAATATTCAATTAATCAATGAAGAGAATGATAAAGAAAAATTAAAATTTCTGAATAAAATACGAATAGAATACGAATCGTGTGGAAATTATTTGATACTTAACATTTATACAATATAAAAGTCGTACTAAACATATTAAATAATTGCATTTAATTTGAACATGAAAATGTTTTATCATAACTTACGAAATTAAGAATGTACTACTTTGGTGTAACCTTAATTCCGAAAAATGATATGAAACATTCATCTGTACTATATTAGATTTTTTTTTTCTTTACGGTATACTCTATTACATATATCTGAAATCACCATTCTACGTAACAAAGAAAAACACAATTATTCAAATAAATATGAAAGCAAAAAAAATAAATAATGTAGCAAAATTAAAATTATTACTTGTAAATACGATATACAGAACAAATAATTAAAAAAAAAATAAAAACGGAATTACATAAAGTTCAGTTTACATATCCAAATAGAGATTCAGAAATTCAAACACCAGTGGATGATTTCTTTGAAACACAAAAAGAACAGAATTTCATTATTTATCAAAACATGATTGTTAATCTTCATCAACAATTAAGAAGTCACCACTTCATCTTATAATAAGACAACACAATAATATTTACGTTAAGCTATATTTAAAAATAAATTTAAAATATCCAACGAAACTATAGTTTTGTAAGAAAAAGTCAAAATTATTAACTACCTCCGAAATCAGAAGATTGGTCAAGAATTTAAACCTGAAAACTATTTGCAGTAAATACAGTTCCCTTAAAGGTGCATCCACCCAAACATGTAAGCATCATAATACATTTTCTAGTATGAAGTGCATCCACCCAAAGATCCCTTGACCATGATACCATTCAAAGTGTAGCATGGAACCATCACAAACGACATACACAACTAGAGTTTCGGACAAATTTATTGCTTTCTGAAAGGCTCTAGGGATTACCTGAAGCAAACGACTAATGTCAAAAAAATCTCGCCATGATTCAATCCATTATAAGATATACCCACTTAAATATATTTAAAAAGAATAACTCACCGTGTAGTCCAACATCATATCGGATGGTTGAACGGTAACTAAGTATTTTAGATCAAACGGAGTGAAATGATTTGATAACTCATTCTGGAAACAATGACCACCGAAACTTGTTGCATAAACAATGTGATTATCAAAAAATTCTAGATGCAACCAACATCCTGGTGAAATATCCGTATGAATTAGAAAATCCATAAATTTATCTCCACTCAAAACAAATTTTTCGTCTTCAACAACTGAAATCTTCACATTGAATTGCCCAACTGCCGTTCGAATCTTAATAACAATTGTAATTGATTCGAAGAAACGATCACTCAAAGGCTTTGCGTCTATTATTATTAAAAAAAAAAATCAATTAATATTTCTACGAAAATCCAAGAATGATACGAAATATTAGAAGGAGTAAAACTTATCATTGAAAAACCATCAAAATCATCATGAACCTTGTACATCCATTCAAATCTAAAAAAACATGATTTCGAACCTTAAGCTGTATAAAAAAAATTTAAAAAATGAACGAATCAGAAACTTCCTTAGATGAATTATAAATACTCCTTATATAAACATGTTCAAAAATCAAACAAAGAGATATAATATTTACAATACCTGCTAAAGCCATTAAAAACTAACCAAACAACGATATTAGCAAATATATTAAAGCAAATTTCACACAGTAAATAACGATCCATATCGCAATAGAGTAATCTAAGTTATAAATCAGAAGCATTATCATCAGAGAAATGAATAGCCACAATGAAAAAAACAGAGAAAAAAAAAGATGAAATAAGGAATCAAAGAATTTGAAATTTTGTTTACCTTCTTCGTTTGACGAATGAGGACAACAAAAATATTGATGAATATTGATACTAAGATGGAAGATACTTCAATCTCAAAAAGACAACAATAGAAGAAATATAAACGGAGATGAAAAAGATTTTTGATTCAGAATAGAACTGCTACACTAAAACATGAAAAGGAATGAATATATAGGGTTAATATCGATATTAAAAAATAAAGTACACAAAAAGTCATAACGATCTGATGAGTATCAATTAACGCAATATACATTAAAATAGAGTCCTTGAAAAACGTGAAAATTGAAGCACATAAAATATCCTTTATTAACTTTAAAACATTTTTGGAGTATTAAAGTTTAATTTTGATTAGTTTTTTCTTATATAGAAAAATACATCTACATTTTTTTATACCTTGATTTAATTTTATGATTACATTTTCTAAGAAACCTAATGAATAATTTTGAAATTTTATCGTCCGATATTATTATATTAGTGGAAAATTTTTACAATAAACTGTAACTCTAATACAATTTAGCGAATATGTTATCTTTTTCAAAAAAAAAATTGGATTAAGTAGGATTTTATATACAATTTGATATAACCATATATAAAAAATAAACAAACTGATATATAATATATTAAAAATCATAAAACATAAATATTGATCTGAAATGTAAAACTGATGATCTCAAATGGCAATGCAAATTTGCTTATATTACCAAAATATTAAATTAATCTCTACGGAAAAAAACTAAAAATAGAAGAATAATGTCCAAATTAAAACCAAGATCAAAGTTCAACGAAGAACAATTTCAATCAAGATCGTCAAATCGATTGAACTGTTTTACAGAGAGAACCAAAACTGATGAATCTTCCTCAAATAAGTTGCTTTCAATCGATATTATAAGCCTAGTGCCCATGTTTATATTAGTTTTCTTGAAAAACCCAAACCAATTGCAGTGAATATTAACTGCACGGACAGCCTGATCGTTGTAATATACTTCAAAATCACCGTGGTGAAGATCCATATCAAAAGTTTTGGGATATCCATCATAAAACAGAAGAGTTTTTGATTTCCCCATTAAACCATGACGAACAACCAAGTAAGTTGGGACTGGCTGTTGAAAAAAAGACAAAACAAAAAAAGAAATCAAACGATTAAAACTAAATAAGTAACATAAAAAAATAAACATGAATCACACGAATTTAAAACAAAAAAGAAAATCATCAACATAGGGTTTTAAATTAAACACTCTCCATTTTACCGATGATGATAACCTGTTCATCGAGGTGATAATGATAAAAATTATCACGAACATAGGGAAACATTGAGAAAGGTTCATCATCATCACCTAGCAATATAAGGTAATATGAGAAACAAAGTATATAAATAAATGACAATTCAATCATAATTATTTTTCTGTAATCATAAAAATTACAACTAACCATTGGACAAATCAGAAGATACATAAGAATTTTGCACCGAGAATCCAGTAAGATAAAAAATTGTAGCACGGAAGAATTTATCGCCGGTCAAAGAAATCACAACATGATATCCAACGTTAATATCCCAAGATCCATAGAAAGTTTGCCATTGCATTCCACTAAAACCAACAATCTCACCAGAATCCCTTGCCAAATCAAAATGCCATATGACCTCACCATCATCCACCATGAAACGATCATGAGGTCTTGTAAACATAAAATACGACCAAAATGTTTTCGATATCAACTGCGAAAACAGATTTTTGTAAATTTATAAAATAAAATGATGAATATCAATAATTATTCAATTGCATCAACAGAAATAAACTAACCGCTTTATCATAAGAGCCATCAACTATTTCAAGAAAAAATCGTACACCTCCTGGTAATATAGGTTGACGGCAATAATCAAAATTTTGAACCCCCCAATGATCATAGGTGATAAATTTTAGTATGTAGTCCTCAACTACTATGATATGAAATTTGGATCCAGAAACCAGACCACTACTTCGAATGAATTCCAAGAATCTACCACAACAAAGACGTCCCCGACCTTTACGTGTGATAAGCAACTTTACAGAAAAATCACCAAAGTTAGTGCGAAGGTAAACATATCCTTGTGGATTTTTCCTACTAAATAATGACGGCATTCGATTGGAGATTTTCTGAAACAACAATACAAGACAACAATATTAACTTTTTCAAAACTGCTTTTGTTCTTTAAAGACTCATACGGCAAATGAAAAGCAATCTAATGCTCTTCAATTGTTCACTTTTTTAAGTGTTAATAAAATATACGAGTACCTTGTTTCTTGTTTGTTAGGTTTTTTTATAGTATTTTTAAAATATTTAAATAATAATTGTTCCATCCCAGCATACCTTTTTATATTTCTTACACCTTTTTACATTTCCAATACAAAAAATACCTAAAAACACACACTAAAAAACGAAAAAAAAATATCTTTTTACATTCCCAATACAATAATAATTGTTCCATCCCTGCAAACATGTGTATAGAATCTCTTAAGTGACGAATATGTAATATTTTGATAGTGTCTAAGTTCTTGGATTCATTTATAGTTATGGTTTTTGGATGCACTTTTGGAAAGAAATTCTTGGAAGAACACATAACTTATAGGCTATCACACTTATGACAAATGGGGAATGCGGTATTTCTTCTCTTATGAAATATGAAATATGCGAAATAGAGTCATTTCATCTTTAAAATATTTCTTAGTTAATTTTAATTGTTATAAATGACTTTGATATATCTAAACACAACATATTATTAGAAAATGAAGAAAATAAAATAAAATTCACAAGTAATGATATACTTATATTTTACCTATTTATTCTATCCAAAATTTGTGATTTTTGCAATATATTTTGAGTACAAATGTGCTATTTATGTTATATTATATTTGATTGTAGGAATTGTACACAAATTTTGGGCTAAAATAAAGGAAAAACAACTCAAAGGGAGAATTGAAGATTTGATAAATTGACAAGGAAGAAATTGAAGCACTTGAAGAGTTGGAAGAGTTTTAATTTAAATTGGCTTGAAAAAAAATAACTTTCTTATTCATGAAGAAATAGGGTTTCAGAAAAATCTGTAAAAGAAGGATTAAGATTTTATTTTTTTACCAATTCCATAACCCCCTTCCACCAGCCCCTTCTCACGGCCAAAGCCCCCCACCCCTCTAAACCTTCACACCATCACCTCTCTCTCCACCTTCGCCGACCACCACCATCAACCCCACCTTAATCATCATTGTTACTCCATCACCTCTCCTTCACCCCGCCATTACCTTCCCCAACCTCACGCCTCCATCAAGCTTCCATCACCTCACCTTAATCATCACAATCCCCCATCACCTCTGCGTCCACCTTCTTGCCCACACAACACCTCATCACCCAACCTTTCTACACCACACACCCCCGACGCACCAAACACCATCACCTCTTCTCCACACCAAACCCACGCACATCATCGGAGGAGGAAGCAAGCAACTTCGGACTCAACTTTTGGCCTACTTCTCCCGCAATTCATTGTTTTATTTATTTTTGAGATGATGTGTAGCTAAATTACTTAATCTAGAGTTTTGGATGTAGCCGCCGTACTATTTAATTTAATTTAATTCATGATTGTGACTTTTTCATTAGTTGATATTTAATATTCTTGTTTTTATTCCATGTGAGTATTTGATCACCACTTCCATACTTTAAAGGTGTTTAACTGAAGGAATGACGGTTGAAGGTTAGCACTAGTTCATGGGAATATTAACTTAGATAGTGAGCCACGAAAGTAGGAACACCGTCTTTGCAGCTATAGATTCTAGGGTTCTTAATGTACTCTAATTAAATCCTATAGTCACGACAGTAGTCATAGGGTTAGTTTGAGTAAGAGAATTATATCACGACAGTGAATAGTTCTTAAATAGGTGAGTCGTTGTGAGATTAATGAAAGTCCAAAGTCACATATCTATAGGTTGAGTTAAACTGAGTAGTCGGTAGGTGAACCCTTTTCCCTAGGTTTTCTTTTATTTGATTAATTATATTTAATTATTAGTTTTAGGTTTAGTTTAATTTAAAATCATTATTATTAGTTGTCTAAATAATAATAAGAAATAATTTTAACCTGGTACTTTGTATCTTTCTCGGTGGGATCGACCCTATTTTCTACTATATTAGTGGTAAGTAGGTAATTTTATTTGACTAGTGGTGACGACAGCTTGTCAAATTTGGCGCTGTTGCCGGGGAAGGCACTAACCAATATCAAAACTAGATTATTTTTTTTTATTAATTTAGATTTTTATATATTCCTTTGTTTTATTACCTTTTATTTTATTTTATTTTATTTTTATTTTTAATTTTATTCTCCTTTCTTTCTTGTGTCAACATTTTTGTAGGATTTTGGAGTTATCATGGAGAATTATAACTATGGATATGGAGATGCTTATTATAGTTATAATTCTGAATATGAAGACTATCCTACATATCAAGAAGATCCGTACTCTTGGAACAATTCGTCTTCTGATCCTTACTATGGTTGTGATTATCAGGAATACTCATTTGATGCTGGGTACAATTCTGGTTTTGAGAGCGCGTATATGAGCCCTCAGATATTGTCATGTTTGGAGAGAATTGATAAATTGCTGGATGACATTGAGAAGAAAAATGCTTCATATTTCTCTCAAGAGGATTGTTACCACTCAAGTGCGTCAGTATATCAACCACCACCTCCTCAACCCACTCTAAGAGAGTTAGCAGCTCGTCAACCTACTCTAAGAGAGTTAGCAGCTCGTCAACCTACTCTGAGAGAGCTAGCAGCCTTACAGTCATCACCTTGTCAACCCACTTTGAGACAGTTAGGATCTTTGTATCAGCAGCCACCTGCTCAACCTCAACTTAGTGTTAGAGAGGGAGCTCTTCGAGAATTGCAAAGTGAAAAAGGCCAACAACTTATCGAAGAGGTCAATCAATATAGGTTGAGTGTGGGGTTGCCGGAATATGATCCTATAGAAAATTTGCTTAAATTGAATAAGAATGAGAAGATTTCTGAAGATGATTCATCGGTCCAGTCTCCCCATCCACCATCTCAAACTGAGCTTGAATGTGAAGAATTAGAAGAGACAAAAGAGATTACAAGTCCAGATATTCTAAGTTCTCTCGATTCTTCGGGTATATACATAGTAGTTAAGCATGATTTGCGCATTCTGAGAGTTGGCAACAAAAATGTAGATCAAGTTGATTTTGATGAGAATAACATTTCTATAGTTTCAAAAGAAGGGTTTGAAGTAGACACATGTGGTGAGGTTGTCCCTAGTATAAGAGATTTTGAGGATGATGTGAAAAATGGTTCAATGAAAGACCAAGAAAGAGGATCAATGGTACAAGATTGAATTTGAGAAAGAGGATGTTGTAGTGTTGGGGTATAAGTTTATATTTTCTCATGGAAAGCAGAACCACTACAAGAGATTCATTGTTGCTGCTGAACATGGTTTCTTCTGGTATCTAGATGGGTACTCTAACTGATTGGCCATGGAGTCCGGCTATAGACTATAAAACAACACTTATTGGGAGGCAACCCAAGTTTTAATTTGCTTTATTTTATTTTCTTAAATTTGTAAATAAGTTGGTGGTTAAGTTTTTTTTTCCTGATTATCTGGAGATCTTTAATTTCTGGATTTTCATGATTTTTCTTAATCATCTGTTTGTTAGGTTTGTTTTTCTAATTTATTTTAGTTTGCAATTAGGTTTGTTGGAAGGGCGGAACTCTGGTGTCCAATGGTGCTGAAAATGAAACATCCAAAAGTCAGTTGGTCGTGTACTTGGATGGCAGTTGCAACAGTTTATTCAACAATTCCGGTCCTCTGTTTTGCATTCCCAAGGTTGTGTTGTTTCTTTTCACTTTTTTTGTTTATGTCTTTTCTTTTCTTTTCACTTGGTTACTTTGTCTTTTGTGTTTTATACATTGAGGGCAATGTATACTTTAAGTGTGGGGGAGAGGAATTTGTTTTTTGTGTTTGGTGTGTTTTGTGTTTATTTTTATTTAAAAAAAACCATAAAAAATTTTGAAAAAATTGAAAATCCAAAAAGGCCTAGGATGAAGATGGTTTGATTATCTATAACATGTAAGAATTAGAGTATTTTGAATTGTATTGCTTAACTTATGTATTTCTATGTTGCTTTGAATACCCTGCTTTATATGCACTTAGTCGTGACTGTGGGATAAGCGTAAAGTGAGACATAGTTGCATGGGTTTGATATAGATATGCCATGAAAGTTTTTTAATTCACTCATACTTATATGATTTGTATGTGGAACCCATCATGTTGTGAAGGAAAAACAAGGCATTAACCCAATATCAGCCTTAAAAAACCTTATTGCTTTGACACTTTGTGTTAAGTAAGTTTCGGGGAGGGGTGTTGGCAGATGCTTCTGAGGTTAGGTTAATTTTAATGAGGGAGAAAGGAAGAGCATTCAATTTTGATACCAGCCCCTTAAGAGGTGAGGAATTGGCAACCTGAGTGGAGAGTCCTTAGGTTCGGTGAGAAAAAATAGATATATAGACTGCCCTAAGTTACTGAGCCACTATGTATAGGAGTGAAAAAATGCTCTGGGTAGTGGTCTAAGTCGGAAAGAGTCCCGAAGAAAAGCCGAATGGACCGAAGAATGGGTTACGAGGGGGAATAGGTTGTCTGTGAGATAAGTCCTTCTACTTCATAGCATGTCTGGTGGTCCATTGCATTGAAATATGGTATGAAATGTGAATCTGTGTTAAAGTGTTAATATATGGCATATTTGCAGTAGAGCTTTTGTTTTCTGTGTTAAATGTAAAGTGATGTCCCTGAGAAACGGATCGCACACACACACAAGCGTAGGGGCTAAAAGTGCATATGGGTTGCATTTTGTTAGGTAGTGCATATTAGAGGTAGTCGAGGTCTTTGTGTTATATGATGATTGAATCTCTGAGGCTGCCTAATTAAATAATTTAATGTTTTTGTTTGTTTTAATTCTTGGGAATGCTTGAGGACAAGCAATAATTAAATTTTGGGGGTGTTTGATATGCTTATATTTTACCTATTTATTATATCCCTAATTTTTAATTTTTGCAATATATTTTGAGTACAGATGTGCTATTTATGTG